ATATATATATATATATATATATATATGTATATATATATATGTATATATATATGTATATGTGTACATACATATATATAATATATATGCATTTTAAATCTTAAACATTAATGAGAAAAAGACACAAACCAATAGAAAAATGAACAAAAGATGTGAATGACCACTTCTCAAAAAAGAACATAGAATGGCTAATAAGCATGTTAAAAAAAGGTGTTCAATTTCATTAGTCATCTGGTAAATGCAAAATAAAACCACAATGTAATACCACCACCCACACACAACAATGGCTAAAATGAAAAAGATGGGGGAAATACCAAATGCTAATGAAAATGTGGAGCAACCACTTTGGAAAATTTCTTGGTAGTATTTATAAAAGTTGAATTTCATAAGATCTGACCCAATAATCCTAATCCTAGTTAACTAAGCATGTGTCAATAAAAGACATGTTCTAGAAGATTTAGCTACACTATCCGTACTATTTCCAAACTGGAAATAATACAAATGGCCATCAACAGTAGCGTGGAAGAGTCAATTGTGATAGATTTAGGCAATGAAAATCAAACAAGAGAGTCTGAAGAACTCCCAACTAACTACACACAAGGTAGCTGAAACAAATACTAAGTAAAAAAAAAAAAAAACCCAGAACAACACAAAAAGAATGTATGCACTATGATTCCATTTATACAAAGCCAAGAATGTTAGCAGTTGAGGTCTTAGTTACTCTCGGGACATAACGGGTAGTAGGGGAATGGACCAGGTCATGAGTGTGGAGTGCATGTAATAGTCTGGTTCTTGAACTAAATTCTGGTTACATGAGTTTATTCAGTGAAAATGCATCCAGGTATATCCAAATTAAAAAGTTAACACTGAGAACAAAAGAATGACAGCAATGGATCCAACAGTATATTTAAAACCAATGCATACTAAGGAATTCCTCTTCCCCACCCCCTGAGCCTTGCGCACGCACACGCACACGCACACGCACCGTGAAGGGCGAGCTCCATTGGCGGGGACTAGGTGGCGCATTTCCGGAAGCCGCTCTTGCCCCGGCTCCTTCCGCCTCCTGGGCGCCCGGCCTTTCCCGCCTCCGCACCACCGAGCGCCGTGGCTTGGACCCCAGTCGCTTGCGCTTGGCCATAGCTTCTTCCTCGGTCACCGCAATCCGACGTCAGCTCGCTACCGCCGCCATTATGAATGTCCGCAATGCTCGGCCAGACGACCTGATGAACATACAATACTGCAACCTCCTTTGCCTGCCGGAGAACTACCAGATGAAATACTATTTCTACCATGGTCTTTCGTGGCCCCAGCTGTCTTACATCGCCGAGGACGACGATGGGAAGATTGTGGGCTACGTCCTGGCCAAAATGGAGGAGGACTCAGATGATGACCCCCATGGGCATATCACCTCCCTGGCCGTGAAGCGGACACACCGGCGCCTTGGCCTGGCCCAGAAGCTGATGGACCAGGCCTGCCAGGCCATGATAGAAAACTTTGGCGCCAAGTACGTGTCCCTGCACGTCAGGAAGAGTAACCGGGCAGCCTTGCACCTGTATTCTAACACCCTCAACTTCCAGGTTAGTGAGGTGGAACCCAAGTACTATGCTGATGGAGAAGATGCTTATGCTATGAAGCGAGATCTCTCACGGATGGCAGGTGAGCTGAGGCGGCGGCTGAAGCCGAAGAAGGCCGGGTACGTGGGGCTGGTCTCCAGGGAGAACCAGGAGCCCCAGCGCAGCACGCTTCCTGGTTCCCAAGAGGCCGGTCAGCAGGAGAAGAACCTGCTCGCTGACAGCAGTGGCAGTGACAGCAAGGAACTCAGCGAATCCACGGAGAGCACCAATGTGCCGGGCAGCTCAGAAGACTCAGATTCCACCTCCTAGAGCCTGCTTTAAAGGTATCCTGTCTTCCCTGACCCAGTTCCTTCCTTCCCTACACCCCTGTACCATACTTCGGCCTGCCCAATCCCATTCTGTTACACCCCATTCTAGCCCTGCTAGGCTTCACGGTGAAAACCTCTGGGTGATCTTGGGAAGGGGTGTAGATTGGGTTAGGGGAAACTCGTTGCTCACTGTTGGAAGTTAATAGAATTTTGACTCATATCCTGAAAGTAGATTCAACTGAGTAAAAGAAGCAAGCGTTTTATCTGACTTTTTGGTATGAATTGTATTTCAGAGTTCCACGTAGTTGAAAGAAATGTCTTCTTTATAAAATTATATCTAATAAATACAGAAACGATGATAGAATTATAAAATCACCACTTTGCAACTCTTGATGAATTAAGAGATCTAGCCAACTGGCGATAAAGAGCTAATACTATTAGGTGAAAATGGAGCACTTTGTAATAATGGATCAGACTGACAACACTTCAAAGTCACTGGTCAAGTGTAACATCACTAAAAGGGAGATAAATATTTTGTGTCTCCTAATGCAGGAAGAAGTGCACAGTGACACCTATGAAATATTCTTGCCAAAAGAAAAATGTGTGTGTGTGATACACACACACACACACACACACACATTCATATGTATAAAATTCATCTTGAATCCAAACAAGGCCCTAGATGTAACTACCATAAAAAAAAAAGGACATGTTAAAGTCTACCATGATGCAATCAGACAAATATAGAATGAGAGAATTACTACAGAACAAATGACCTAGTTTCTTCAACAAATAAATGTCATTTTTATAGCGGAGTAGAGGAAATTATTAAGACAAACTTTAGAGTTATGTATGTTGACCAAATGCAACCATTGTGGACATTGTTTGAATCCTGATTTAAACAAACCAAATATTAGACATTTGAAAAAAAAATTGAACACGGACTGTATGCTATCAAGGAATTATTAATAATTTTGTTAAGTGAGCTAATTGGTATTATAGTATATCTAAAAATGTCTTTAGCCACTAGACATACATACTGAACTACTTAGAGGTGAAATAATATGATGCCTAGGATTTACTCTGAAATGCTCCAGCAAAAAAGGAAAATAGAAAGGGGAGGGGAGGGCGAAAAAGATAAAATAAGAATGGCAAGATATGATAATTGTTGAAGTTGGATAATGGGAACTTGGGAGGTTATTATACTGTTCTTTATTGTTTTGAATATGTGACAGTTAACATGAATGAAAAGTTAAAGGACCAAAACAATTATTGTACTTCCTAATATACACTAACACTAAGCAGCCACTAAAAAGTAGTTTAAAAGACTGTATAACTTCCATCAACGAACGTTGTAAAATGCTTAACCCCTTAAGTATTTCAAGGGCCAATGAGCTACTGTCAATTTAGAAGCTTTCACTTCTAAACCTAGTCACTTTACCCTTACATGTGAACAAGGCAACAACTTGCTCTTAACAAAGTCTAGTCATGAGTGACATACACTGCATATAGTTAAAATAAAAACTGTTTGTTTACCGAATTTCCTCATGTATAAGACATGCCCTTTTTCGAAAAATTGGGGTCTCAAAACTGGGTGTGTCTTACACAGTGGTTGTAGATTTTTTTTACTTGGATTTCCTGCTTTTTTTGCGCTTGTTTTTTGCACTCATACAACCACTGTATAAGACGCACCCAGTTTTGAGACCCCAAATTTTTCGAAAAAGGGCATGTCTTATACATGGGGAAATTTGGTAATTTACTCATTCATACAATTTTTTATTTGCCAGGCAAACTGTATAGCACACTAACCCTGCTTTATTTTCATTCCCTATAGTTCCATAGGTTATAAAAATTTATATATAGTAAGCTCTTGGGGGTTAGAAAGAGTCTATAATCAGAAGAGTCTTTGCATCTGATTTTTAACAACCAGAAGGTTTCACAATGACGGATTTATTCGATATAAATTTAAAAGCAGTAGACAAAGGAACAAGACAAACAAACAAAAACTCACAGACACAGACAATAGTTTAGTGATTACCAGAGGGTAGGGGGCAGGGGGGTTGTAGATGAGGGTAAATGGGGTCAAATATATGGTGATGGAAGGAGAACTGACTCTGGGTGGTGAGCACACAACGTGATATATAGATGATGTATTACAGAATTGTACACCTGAAACCTATGTAATTTTACTAACTGTTGTCACCCCAATACATTTTAATTAAAAAAACAGCAGAACAGTCTAAAGGGGAAGATAAAATTAGACAAAACTTATTGCCTTGAGAGTTTTTCAAATTTACACCTATCTTGAAAACCCTGGCGAACTCTGTCAAGACCATTTTATTTAAATCAAGCCTTTTTAAAAATTAACTTTCAAATTCCTATATAGAAGAACTTATGTAATATAGATCTCATCTTTGTGGTTATTGGCTTCTTTTTAGTGTTAAACTCTGAGAAGGATTTAAAGTAGAACAGAGCTAATTGGAGACTGCATACTTTCTTTATAAAATGTAATGTATATTATATATTATAAATGTCTACATATTATAAATGTATATATATTATAAACATAAAATGTATTATACATTATAAATATATAATGAATGCAAAAGCACTTAATATTGGCTATGAGAAAAATAATTGCCACACTAGTGGGGGAAGAGAGATATAATAAATAAGAAAATCATTTTGTGGCAGTTATAAATCTTGGTATACAAATGTACAAATTCAGGAATAATTGAAATATTTCTTTGTATTACTGTAATTGAACTTTATGTCTAAGTTGAAGGAGATGTTTCCTGTACTGAGCATCACTCTCCTTCAAGGATGATTTCTGCTGAGACATCTTCATTGGCCCCATCTAACTTTTGGTCCTCATTGTTCACTTCTGAGTCTTTTCCAACTAGAGGCCTCTTCAGGTCTGGTGCTTTCTGCCATGTTTGGGCCATTTTGCTATAAAGGGTATTTGTCACCATAGGCTAACTGTTCTAAAAAATAACCCCCAAATCTCAATAACTTAACACAATAAAAGCTTATTTGTCATACCACACACCAATGTAGGTCAGCAGTGTGGAGGGGAGAAGGAAAGAGGGACCCTTATCCATGAAATCATTTAGGACTCCATCTAGAACAGATGTTTTTGTTTTGTTCCATAGCCCCTTTTGGCAATCTGGTGAAGCCTAAAATCCCGTGCTCAGAAAACTGATTTTAAGAGGCATAAAAATCATATGGTGTTACAAAGGAAACCTACTTTATTGAACTACAGTTATAAAACTATTTTAAAATAAATTTGAGGGGGCCGGCTGAGTGGCTTAATTGGTTAAGAGCTCGCTCAAGAGTTTGAGCTCTGAGCAACAGCGGTTCGAGTCAGCCCGAGCTGAGCAGCCTCTGAGCTGCCAACAGGTGGCAGGATGGCTCAGCTAAAAAAAAAAAATAATAAATAAATAAATAAATAAATTTGTTATATATGTATTTCTTTATTAGCATATGAAATTAAAAAATCTAACCGTGGGTCTAATAATTACTTTATTTCTAAAAAACATTGAGTATAAATGATATTTTGTAAACAGTAATACAATATGAAAACACCTGTGATTTTTGTTGGTGGCAAAGTCATAAGTATTGCTAATACTATTCATAATTGGAGGTGCCTACATTCATAATTGAAGGACATGCTAAATTTCAGTTAGAAGTTGGTGAAAAAATACAGAATTTTTTTGGTTTCAAATCCAAGGGCATGATTCTATTAAATTCGATTAATGGATCCCAGGTTAAGAATCCCTGATTCAATGATTCTGCCATTTTCTAGAATCATGTGTCCTCCACTGGTTCATATGCATTTAGCTTGCAGATAAAGGAATATAATGCCTACAGAGTTTCATACAGGTTTTAAAAGTCAGTCCCATTTCCCCAACTAACTGCAGGGGAGGCTAGGACATGTAGTTTAGCTGGGTGCCCAGCAGGAAGAGGAATGCATTCTGGTAACCACACAGCATAGGTTCTGCCACACAGGGCTCGTGGTGCCCTGGACCATGACAGGTTCTGCTTCTGTGCCCAGCTGGGAGCACGGATCAGTCTGCCGTGCTCTCCATAATGTGGCACAGAAAACTCTGGGAGCCTATCTAGGGTTGTTTGCTTTGTCACATGACACATCTTTTCTGCTCTTGCATAAACCTGGGCATAGGATACTGGGATTCTGCCACCTTGCTGACTTTATGCCTCTTATTAAAGTCTGGAAGAAATAAATCCCAATGCACAAAAATGTACAAATCTGTCTACTCCAAAACCCCCCCCCCCCAAATTTCTAAAGCTTCAGTTACTGCCCCTCACCTCCATCCCATTCAACAAGGATTTACTTGTTCCTATACTGATTGCCTAAGTGGGAAAAGGCTACTGTGAAGAAAGAAAGAACAGGAAAAAATAAAAAAGGTTAATACAACAAAAGTATTATGCTGCCACAATTGTGGTGCTCCTTCCTGTGGAACTAAAATTTTGATACTTTCAGGGGGAAAAAAAAAAAAAGATCCTGAAAGAAATAACTTCTCATTTTCCCTTATCTCTTCTATTGGGTTTGGGCAATAGAGACAGTTGAAGTGATAGTGGTGAGTCAGGCAGTTAGTGAAAGATATTGGGTGTCTTCATCTTCAAAAGGGTAATAAAATTTGCTACTAACACTGTGAGAACTCACTGTGTACAGGTACTGTTCTAAGTACTGCCTATGAATTGTATCGTTTAATCCTCATAATATCCCTCTGAAGTAGGTACTATTACTCCATTTTACAAGGAGGGCCACATGCCATACAGGTCATAAATGGAGAACAGGGAACAAACTCAGATAGTGAGACTCCATGATGGTGAGGATTAAACGAGACAATCCCAGTCAATTGCTGAGCACAATACCTCACAGAGTTAAATATCTTCTAAATTTTGGCTCTTAAAATAATTTGTAGTAATGGTAACCATTCAGGTTCTTTTCTTCTCCACAGTATTCAAACGATAGAATGTTATGTGTGAGCAGCAACAATTTGCAATCTTGGAAGGGAGATGCATCTTAATGATTAAAATAGCTTTCACTGACAAGCTGAATGTCAAAGCATTCAGCTGAAACGACGCTCATCAACGGGAAAGTTCTAGGGAGCCATAGCAATGAAGACAGGTCAGCTCAAAACATGCTGGTTGAGGCAGGAATGCCATCAAACCAATGCTTATCTCCTGACAAATATGTACTTGATGATTAATAACAAAACAGAAAAAAAGTGCAAAATCTTAGAATTTTCCATTGAGCTGGCAATATTGAGTTAACCAAGGTTACTTCAGTGACTCTCTCTTTCTGGTTTCTTCTTTCTGTCGCTAAGCTGTCATCCTAACAAAAAGTTGTTAAATGTTCACATGAGCATTCACTGAAATAGACTGTTCTTAATTTTACCAGACAACTAATTATAACTGGAATGATATAATGAAATATGGAAGAAAGTTGGAGACTGACAGGTCTGGTAAATTCCTAGTATAACCTTACCCCGGATATGCCAGAAACCATAGATTTCAAATGCAACTGCACTATAAAAAGATAAGAGGGGGTTGGGAAGAGATAAAATACTGTTTTGAAATACTAATCAGATAGATACCATTTGTTGAATTATTTATAATCTCTAACAATATCACTTTTCAATCAGCGTATGATGTACATTTAGGATGACTGAAATACCAGCTTTGTCAGAGGTAACTGATAACAGCAGAGGTTTTTCCTAAATTGGGTACTCTCTCTGTGCTCCAGCATATAAAATCTAATTAGCTTTATGGTAGAAGAGGTAAGGAAGAGAGGATATTAAAAATTCTATGAATGACAGTGTTTGAAAGAGCCAAAGTAAAAGCCTTTCTGAGAACATTCTGTAATGCTATTTCTATACACTAATATCCTCAGATCATCATAGGAATTTTTTAAAAAGTAAAGCCATGAAATTCTGTTTTGTGTTCAAAAAGTCATGTTAACAATTAACATATTTCTCAGACCCACCTTTCAGAATCCTAATAATGTAAAATTTTGAACTTAATAAGCTAATAAATTAGGGCTATAATATTCATATATTAAAAAGAATCTCTGTGAAAAATTTCTACACCCTTAAACAGCAAACTATCCTTGGGCATTTATTACAATGTTATTTGACTTTCTAAATTTAATGCCTTATCAAGCAATATTTACTGAGAAAACTAAAATGGCTAACGATGTTTGGTTTTTATAAAACTTCTTTTGCATGCCTATCTTAACAGAACTTACAACAAACTGAAAAAAGTAATGATGATTGTCTTCCTGACCTAGTCTCCCACATCTTATTCTTCTTCCATTACAGCAAATATACTTTTTTAAAAAAATAAGATTTTGTATTATATGCCTCTGACTATCCTACAACTTGATTTACTGTTGTTATTCTGAAAACAAAGTTTTCTGAAATTATGATTTTGTGCAAAATGCTTTTTAAATGCTCTGAACGTAATAGTCAACCTTTATCTTATTACTTCTGTGTGTATTTGATAGATGCGGAAAGATAATGCATCTTTATAGTTGTAAGGTTCTGTTGTTTTGTTTTCTTTGCAGTTATTCAGTAATGGGCAGCAGTACTCCACTAGCTTTTCTTTAACTCATGTATTCCATTCAGTATCACACAAACTGTTCTATCAAAGAGCACAGGGCCCATGTCTCATTGAATTCGTTTCCTAAACTCCTGTCACATTATTCATTCATGGTAGGTACTCAGTAAATATTTATTGAATGAGTGAAGGAAGTAACCTCCCAAATTACCTATGAAATAAAATAAAAAAGGAAAGGAGAGAAAAATGTATATAAGGTACTACTTCCTATTACCTAAAGTAATTAGGACATTTTGAAGTTATGAAAAGAAACATCATGGATATTTTGGTTTCATCTCCAGGCCTCACAGAAAGAAAATATGACTTACAGAATTGGACACATTGTGCATCTAGCTTATCAAGAACAAAAAAGGCCTTTTGTTTCTTTAGAACTGAAGTAAATTTCGTTTTGAGTGGAGTAGGATGCGATAGGATTTGAAGATGGCAAGCAAATGTGTCTTGGTTTCCTTAGGTTTAAAATAGAATTTTGGGGGTATATCTCAGTCCCTCAGTATTCTCCCTCCTCCCCTTCCTCCTGTCAAGCATGGCTTTTTCTTTTGTTTCAGGACAAATTCATGTGTCCTCATGGCAGGGAGGGGAGAGAGCCCAGATCCAAGTGTGGATCTTAGTGCTGTTACAGATTCTCATTGGCTTCCCTGGAGATTCATCAGTCTAAATTTGCTACTGGTAGCTTGTTGATCTGCTGCTCAAGTCTGTCACTGGTTAAACCAGTATTTTATCCTTTCAGGGTGGTCGGAGCCTGTAGCCCTCTCTTCCTCACGTGTTCTCTCTCTACTTCTCAACAGCATTGCAGGTCCTTGTGTCTCAGCAGCATCTTCTCGGGGGTCATCTCACAGTGACCCTAATGGCATCTCACTCTCAGCAACAACCTTCCACATACCCTCCTGGGATCGTGATGGAACACCTGGACACAAGAGCCCGCTGCACAAGAGCCAAGGAAGTTTGAGGCCTGCCGTCACAGAGCCTTCCTTGGCCTCCTCGCACCGCGCTGCCATTTAATTCTGTTTGTAGTAGTCCTATGGTGGGTGTGGCTGTCTTGCTAGTTGTTTCTTCCTAGAATGCCAGACAGGAAGCAGGGTCAAGTCCTGAAGCCCCTCTGCTTTCAGTTTATTTTGTTAAGTCTGTGTTCTCATCCTTAAGGGGATAGTCAGGATCATCAAGTCAGACCTCATGGGCCCTTCCTCTCCCTTCTTTTCTGATCGAAGTATTCTATTTCTTCCTCCTCGCTCTGGGAACTCCTCCTCTATCACACCCTGCCCTTTCTCTTTCCCAGTGGGAGAAAGTGGTAAGGGCCTCTACTGTGCAGTCAGAACTTCGAGATTTTAAGAAAGAGACAACCAGTAATTAAATTGGAATATCTAATGTCCTTGTGTCAATTTGTAGTTTTGGTTTTTTGTAATGACATAACTTGCCATTTATTGAGTACCTATATTGTTCAGGCACGATGCTAGGACGTTTATTAATAATCTCAGCAACCTTAGGAGGTAGGTATTATTATCCCTGTTTTATAGATGAGGACCTGAAGCTGAAAGAAGCGAAGTAAATATGTAGGATCTGAACCGAAGTCTATTTTAATTCAAAGCCAAAACTTCCTTTCACTTTCCTACTGCTACTCTTTGCATTTTATTTAGAAAAGTGTAAAAACTTTAGCAAAAAAAAAGGAGAATCTGCTGTTTTAAAATGTTGTGTTAGCTTAAAACATGGCAACTTATGTCACTTGTAAATATTTATGTAACCCACCATTATAATCCCACTTTACTTAATTTTTCTCCAGTAAAAATAAGTGAAGAAAAAGTGCTTGGACCTCTGCAATGTAAGTCACCAGATAAATCCAGAGTTATCTTACTTAATGTTGTGTTTATAGTCACTGAATGTGAAAACTATAGTATGTAACATTTCTCATGTTTAAATTGCTATGAAAACTGGTGTATATGGTTTTAAGTCAAAGCCCTGATATTAACCATCTGATGACAAGAGATAAGTCTGTTCTCTGCAATCCTATGAACCCTGCTAAGCGCTTCTTACACATCCACCACAATGTACTCTGAGAATGCCTACCTGATAGGAAATAATTGCCTGAGGAAGACATAAAAGTTTTTTTTTTCCTGTACAACTAGGATTTGCTATTTTCTGTGCCAGCACAAACCTCTCATCTATCTTTCCATCGTTCCTTTTTTTCTTTTGGATTTTCCCTGCAAATCTATTCCTTCCCCTCAAGCATGTGTTTATCTCTTTATTTTAAAATATTACAGCTTGCTAACATCTGTCTCTAGGGCAGCATAATCTGACTGATGAAATATTCCATGTTTTCCTTGAGCCCCTGTCACTGTCTTCACATTAACAGCTTAGCAGATGGAGAAACAGAAGGAGTAGCCTCAGCTTACCTGAATGGTTTCTCTCCAGGACCAGGCACATTACTGTCTAGTAACTTGATGATAGGAATTGGAGTAATTGGAAAAGAGGAAATGATAATCTGACTTTTGCAGTGTTATTTACTAAACTATTGACTTCTTTTCTTTGTTATTGTAATATCCAGTTTCATATCAAGAGAAGGCAGAATTATAGCAACCTACCTAGCTTAGACTGTGCCTATTTAGATAATGAAAGTAAAATACACAATAATACTGATATTGCTTTGGGCATAAATTAGCATGTTCCCAAGTGGTTCAGGGCACTAACAGTGAGTTAGTAGCAGCAGTAGCTTCCTGTAATACTGAGACAGAGCCTGACAAAGCTTTTTGTAATAGCGTTGTTCTTTCTACATAGGACAAATTGTTGTTGTTTTTAATGGACTGTCTGCTTTTTACTTAAGTACAATCTAGAGAGGCCAAAACAAGGCTCTGAAGCAAGGATGTAGCGTAGTTAGTGGTGAATACCCTTGTTTCAGCTGTAGAGACTGACCCACAGCCCTCCTTTACTTGCAGTTTTAACAAAACTACTGGGTGGGCTCAGGCCCATCCGCAAATTGTTCAGAAATATTAATCATCAAGATACAAAGCTTTCTTTGGCGAAAAGAGAGAAACTTGTAATGAAGCCCTTGAGTTACCTAGTTAGAATTTGTATGATTTTCCTTTTTTGCAGATAAGAACAAGGGGCAAGAGGTTATCATCTGAAATAAAATAATGGGGTGTGTGGATGTTGGGAGAAATAGGGAGTAGTGCTGGAAGTTAGTCCAAAGCTGGGAAAATTTGAAAAGAATCAGGATTCCAAAATAGCTGAAAAGAAGTTTTCTCAAATTTTAATGTGCAGATGAGCATCTGAGGGATCATGTTAAAAAATGTAGATTTTGTTTCAGTTGGTCTGAGTTGGGGCCCGAGCGTCTGCATTTCTAACTAGTTCCTAATAACACTGATGTTGCTGGTCTAGGAACCACACCTTGACTAGAAGGGTCTTCCAGCTCCTCTCCAACCTTGGAACTGCAGTCCCAGTGCACTTGTGACGAGCCTTTCGGGTGATTTGGATTAGACCCTAAATAATTCACAACCCCATTCTTAAACACACACTCACACAAATCCTGTTTGTCTTTGGAATTTTGTCACATTAAGGTTGATGGCCTAATAATTTCAATAAAAATCCCAGATATATTTCACCAAAATGTACAGAAAATAATACCTTATATATACAGTGCATAAAATGTATTGATGATAATCCACATTACATCTTCTGTTATATTAGAATGCTTTGATATTTCTTTATTGTTGACTTCCAAACAAGGGAATGGTATATGAGATTTTACAGTTTCACTTTTAACGAACACTCAGTTTGGTGTGTTCATTGGTGCATAGATTACCCTGGTCTCTACGAATTTTCTCCACGCTGACATTTGACATAAAATTTGAAAATGAACACAATTTTTTTTTTTAATTGGAGCATCATATCTCTATGTCAGTGGTGGTGGTGTGGGAAACACTTTCAAGAGAGATTTCCCATCAGGGGATAAGAATTTCTAGCCCTGGGCTTCTCAAAGTATAGTTCATGGACCTCATGCATTAAAATCACCCAGATGCTATGCTGAAAATGCAGTTTCTTTTACTCTAGCTCAGATTTACAAAATCTGAGTCCCATATTTTTAACAAACCTCCAGGTGATTGATTTGCATACTGCCATCTGAAAATCACTGACATAGTACAAGGCTTTGAATTCCTCATAAAGGTAATTTGAAGGGCATTTGTTTCATGGTGATACTCTCCAGATTTAAAATTAATTTGTCAAAAGAAGCAAAAAGCTCAGAGAAGATACAGCACGTTTTTATTATAAAACATATGTGGGAAGGGTTGAGGTGACATAATGGGAACTTGGTACTTTGCTCATTTTTTTCTGTAAATCTAAAGCTCCTTTAAAAATAGTTAATTACAAAATAAAATGTTTACACAGAATTTTATATAAGTGTGGTCATTTGATACATATATATGATTGTATATTTTATCAAAGTGTGATTATATCATATGTGTTATTTTTAGGACATTCTTTTTTTGTTATTTCTTGTCCGCCCACATCAGTGTCCTCTTTGCCCTAGCACATGTTAATCTCTGATTCTTCTGTTTTTTTAACTTCAAGTTCCAGTCAAGCAAACAATAGCTATAATTGGGCAATAGTGGTGTATAGCACAAGCTTGAAGAGAACACTCACAAATTATGCTGAAATTTTCTTAATTTGTTTCCAGAACAAAAAGCTCAGATACTTCAATGTCCAGCTAAGAACCAGGGACCAGGCCAGTCTGGAATCCCATGCCCTTCTCATGGGTCATTAGCTCCTAATATCCCATCATCATCTGGGCATTCCGAGTTAGAATTTAACAATAAGCAACCAAAAACCAGTGAAACAGACTGAATGACTTACTGAGGTCTGTCTTTATACTTTTTTTCTAGACATGAATGCTTTGAAATCTTCAAAGATCATTTCCTTGCACACTTGAAGGGTGTTTCCTTATATGGACATAGGAATTAAATTTTGGGAAGTTCTGGAAAAGTCCTTTCATTATAAATCGTACATATATGCTTTCCTAACTAAGATAGATTTTGCCCTATGGGAGTGGGATCATCACCTCGTCTGCATATTAGAAAAGCTTACAGAGAGAACATAGTCCTTAGCAAGTTGAGCAATTTTCACAAGAGGTAGTTTAATAGAGGGTGAAATCACGAACCTCAGAACCCAAATGCTTAAATTTTACTCCCAGTTTGGCTTATTACTACCTGGACATTCTCTGGCATGTCAATTTTCTAATCTATAAAACAGAGGTAAATACACCTTAGGGTTATTGTGCAATGAGGTAGTGTAAGAAAAAAATGCACTATAAAAAGATGTGTAAATAGTATTGCTAACATTTCTTTTTTCAGAGATTTTTATCCCCAAACTGGTACAAAATAATAACGATCATTTTGTTTTTGCTCACTAGTCCAGGAAAAAAAAATGGCAATGATGAATGTGTGCATGTGTGTGAATATTTTAAAGTATGAAGTATTGAAGAAGGCAGTGAATTCCTATAAATGTAGCAAATTAACTATATATTCATTTAAAAAGAAAAGGAGCTTAATAAAAGTTGTTTATCTGTTGCTCTATGACCTAAGCACTCACATGTAATAAGATTATTCATGTAAATTCAACTGTACTTGTTCTTCCATTTGCATGGTTTTGTGTAAAAGAGATTCTCTCTCTCCCTCTCTCTCTCTCTCTCTCTCTCTCTCTCTCTCTCTCTCTCTCTCTCACACACACACACACACACACACACACACACACACACACACACGGCCAAAGTTTTCACATGCTCACAAACTTTAGTAAGCTATGGCAGTACATTAGGGCAAGCATCTGGTTGATTTTTCCATCGCCAGAGCCCTAAGCAAAGTGTTAAGTCCCTACTTTGATTACTGAAAAATAGGTACAAAATTTAAAGTTAGTTAAATAATATTAAAAACAATTTTGAAAAATTATCATGGAGTCCTTTAGATAAGGAGGCTTGTAGAAAAAAATTTTTTTTACTTGTTCTTTTGGCATCCAAGACATTTTTGTGTCTGGGATAATGTGCTCTACTTATTCCCGGTGAGTGAGGGTGATGCCTTTCTTTTTTAAAGTGCAGAAAAATTAGTGTGAAGGAAAAGTGAAAAAGAACCAATACCACAGAAGTGCTCTTAGATCAGTCTAGGAAGACATACATATGGAAGCTGAAGACACAGATTCTGTGTTCCTTAACATTATTCAGGCCTGATTGTCCCTCGTACTCCTCAGTATGAAAAGCAGTGATCTATGATTTATATTCCAACACTTCATACATGTTCTTTATTCTCTTATAATTGGGGGATCTGAGGGTGGGGTAGATTAGCTTCTATCCAGTAAACATTTAAGGCTAAAGTTTCACAGCTTTCGTGTGCCTAATTGATTAGCATCTTTGTCTCAACTGCCTTAATTTAATGGGTGGTGTATTGCTTAGTGGTGAAGCTCACACATTCTAGGTTATACTCGTACCTAGAGTCATACTTGGAGGCACCTGCTTTGGAAGTATTGAAATAATCACATGTACCCTGATTTGTAAGGATGGCTACTCTATAAAAACTAAACCCTTCACAGGCTAACAGCACCATGAAATAACCTGAAATAGCTGTTTGTCAGCTGTTGATAGAAATTCAAATTCAGAGTTAGAAAATCAGGTTAAGAATGACAGTGTATAATAATGGAGGAAATTGCCAGCTATTAGAAAGTCAAATATTGTTTATGGAATTGGTTTTATGTCATTTCTTGTCCAAAAAATAAAGTATAGATAATTTTTTATTACCAAATGGAATGTTATTTGCACAATGAAAGGGAGTAGTTTCAGAATAATCTGTCACTCTGAAAGAGAAAGAAGCCTGCCTTTACAGTTTACATTTTTGTATACCAGTACAATTCTAATTGGAAACTATTTGGGTCAGTTTTGCTAAAAAACAGAAGTCCTTGTCTTCAATGAGGAAAATACATAATAGTGGCTTCTCTTAGAATGTAAAGCTTTTAGACTCTCTGTAACTCATGGCTTATCCCTGGGAATTCAAAGCTTTATAAATTGTAAACCTTTTCCAGGACATGGCACACACCACCTTATGTCAGATAGGGTTAGGCTAAGCGAAGGGCGTAAGTAAATTTTCACTTTTTCACCCTGAATTCTTTCATTCCTGATATCCATTATTCTATTATGTGTTCCAGCTTAAGTTATACACCCCTCACCTAGACTAGAATCCCTTCAAAATCACCCACATTCATATCACTTTTTCTATTTTCCCCTCTTTCCCTACTTCTGATAGATGATTAGATAAATATTAATAGATTGATGATAGATAAATAGACAGACAAATAGATGCCCTACATCATAGCTGGTAGTAAGCATTTTTTTAAAATTCACACTGTTAACTGGCAGGCTTGCTCCTCTAAAATATATTTAATTCAAATGAATCTCTTAGCAGGATAAACCTGCTGTATCGCTATCATGCTCATCCCTCTTCTTGGAAGATTAAACTGGGATTACATGGGAATCCTGCCACCTTGGGCCATGATTTTCAAAGGAAAGCAAAAATGTATTTCTTATCTATGAGCAAATGAAGGGATAGGGTACTAAGTAACCAATGCTGTCTTTGAAACCCTGAAATTTTATTTTCTGCATCTTTCTTCCACTTCTTTCTTGTTCTTTCTCCTACATTTTCAACAGTTTTAAAGTCCCAGTTTTTACATCCATAAAATAAAAATAATCACAGGGATGCCATAAGGACTGTAAAGTTTTTGTAACAGTTAAATAAGAAATTTAATGTACATTACCCAGACTGATATCCAGAAAGTATTAGGTGCACAATAAATATTGGTTCCAGTTACTTCCCTTCTAATTGGGAGTAAACATTTTAATAAAGCTAATAATTCCACTACAGGATTTTACATTTGAATATCATTTTATGCAAAAAGATTATGCAGTGAGCATAAGCTGTTTCTGCCTGTCCAGTCTATTCTCCATTCTCTTCTGATTTATCTCTGAGTGTGCCCAGGCAATAGCAGGTGCTCAAGTAAAAGCATGAATGAATGAATGAATGAATAGAAAGAGTTCACAAATAAGAAATAATTGAGCCAATGAAATTTATACCAAATCCCACTTTATATCAAATAATGGTAGAACAAGTGCCCTTTACAATAAAATAATAAAGGCTATTTTCAGAAGAAAACACTCAGTGCAGTTTTAGGCCAATAGTAAGGTACTTCTATTTCCACTCTGTTTTCAAATCGAAAAGCCAAATAGTATCCTAACATTTCCTGGCACAAAAGTTTAAAAGAAGAGGTACAAATAATTGAGAACACATCCAATTTCAGAAGATGTGTTTCTCCAAATACAATAGCAAAAATTCATTTAAAGTAATAAAGCATGATTACTAATGATAATCAGGGCATTGCAAACTTAGTTTTCACTTTGGAAATAAAACTAAAATATTAGAAATTTTTTAAAATGCCACAGTAAAATGTGTTTTTTTATAGATGTTTCTTTATATCTGAAATGAAAAAAAAAAGGCTCAAGTACCACTTTACTCTTTCTGCAGAACAAAGTGTTTTTTTGTGTATTAAAAGAATAAAAGAACAATAATCTCCAAGGAATCATCTTGTCCCACATTAATGACTAGTTTGGTAGTTAACAGCCAGAGGCGTAGCCAGAGGCCTTTAAGGTTGGGGTATTGTGGTTTACCAGTAATTAACTATAGGTATGAATCAACAGTTCCTAAGAGATAAAAGTTACTCTGGATAATTCTATCTGTGTTTATCGTCTCATACACCCCTCCTCCACCATTTTTAATAAATAGGAAAAGAGGATGCTGCCATCATTTCACAAACCAGGTTGGATTGGAAATAATTCATTTAATGAAATGGGGACATACACAGGACCAATTAATGCTTTTTCAAGCTTAGACTATACAACTATAAGAACCACTTAAAAAAAAAAAACTCAGTCTAACACATTAGTTGATTGTTGGTGAAATGAAACTCAATCAAGATCATAAGGATTTTTTGGAGCTTTTTTTTTTTTTTTAGTTTTTAATCCTATCTCAATAAAGGTAAATACATAAGGATTATAAATAAACAAATGTAAAGTAATATAGATTGGGGGAACCTCAAGAGGGTCAGGAGATAATGAAGATTATACCTCAATATTGGGATTATGATGTTAGTTCTTTATTTCAATAAAAGTGGATAGAGATCTTTCCTATCAGGGACAAGGCTTAGCTGTAGGGACAAAGTAATCTTCTGGGAATTATGCACACAGGCTTGACATCATTTTTATTGAATGGCTGATGAACTAGAAAACTCCAGGATAGCCAGGCTTTAATTTGTAATCTTAATTTTCATATAAATCGGTACATTTCA